CCTTCTTCGTCGACACTGAAGTAATGAACATCCGCTGACCATGTCCAGAACTAGCAACAAGGAGCCTAGAATAGGAGTACTGGCGAGCTTTTGTAACTGAAACTGCGATCCATAATCCGTGAGATTCTCCTTAGTTAATCGGATATATATAGATACCAGCTTCGAGAACGTTTCCGTTGAACTTATCGACCGATGGCTTCCACAAGACAAGCGGGACGAGCCATATAATGTTTTTAAATGAGTTAGTTTAGACCCAACTAATCACAACTCGCTCAGAGTTAGAACGTTCGAAGAGAATAACGACAGAAGTACCAAGCCTGAGGATGGCTCCGACAATTCAGGAATTTGATGCCCCTATTTGGGAAAGCAGAACAACATGACATCTTGTTAGCGAGTTCTTGAAATGGTATATAGGTGCTCCGGGAAATACCCAAGACGTCTGTCTTTATTGTGACAATCTGTAACCCATGCAAGTTGGTGAGGCAGCCCGGCCTGTGTTCATAATTCGATAGTGGTCTGGATTACATCATTCTTCAGGAAAACTGGAATCTGTATTTCGTGACACGTACATGTGACATTGCACATCGTGTAGCCGTTGCTCAACTTATAATTTCAATAGAACCCCAAGTCTGTCCAACTGGCTAAAGCGGACTACGCAGGTGAGCAACCCTTCACTACGGTATGTCTGGATGTTGGTAGTATAGTCACAAGGAGCGGGCTGGATTTATTTAGAATAGGGGTATGTTTTTCTATGTAGTTTGTAGGTCTGTCTCTTTCTAGATTTGTGGATAGATTCTATGTGTCTATGTAACTTCCACCAGATTTATACAACTTAAGTATTCATTGTTCTTTGCGGGAGTTGAGATTCTTCATGACTACCTTCCTTATGCCCGTGGAAGACATAGCTGTACTGAACATCGCAACGAGCAGCTCAAACAACATCCCCAATCAAGGTCCACATCCATCTCCCATTCTATTGACTGAAGTTCAAATTATACCCATTCCCCTTCTCCAAAGCCCTCTTCCAAGCAGGACGACCCGTGCACCTCTCGCGAAACGCCTTCAAACGGGGGTACTTCTCGAAGTCGACCCAACCACACTGGAACGCCCAGTCCACATACCACATAAGCGAGAAGTCCGTCCGCGTAGGCTCCTCCGTGCCGAGGAACCACGCGCGATCCTTAGTCTCCCCCTCGGCGGGCGCGAGCTGCGCCTCCAGGAACCCGACCACGAGCGCCAGCTCCGCGTCCAGGTACGCCCGGTCCAGCGCGTACCGGACGCCGGCGACGAGCGGCCGCACGAAAAACGGCGCTTGCCGCACGAGGAGCCCGAATATCAGCTTGAGCATGAGGAGGGGCCCGAGCGTGGCGCCGCCCAGCGAGATCAGTTGCTCCTCGCGCACGGCGTCGTCGTTGCTACCGGGCGAAGGCGGGGGGAGCCGGAAGCGGGCTCCCTCGTCGTACGTGTTGATGAGCCATAGTGCGATGCTTCAATTGGGGGAGCTAGTTAGCAATTGAGTCCCCATGAGGAGATGATGATGGATGGTGGATGATGGTTTTAAAGGGAAACGTCTCTGGGCTAGGAATTCCAAAATCGGGTCCGATTGGGGAATTTCAAATCCCCTAGATGTTTGGGATACGTACGCGCTGCGCTCTGTGATCGTGCGCCCGGACGGCGTGACCAGGGTCGGCGACTTGCCGAGCGGATGCGCTGCCTTCAATTCCGGCGGCGATCGGCTCTGAACGCGATTATGAAGAACCAAGTTGTACTCGATGCCCAATTCCTCGAGCAGCCAGAGAATAAGATGCGCCTGCGAATTCTACATTTGGGGTTTCTTAGCAGTGGATCATATCGTGGGCCAATCATATTATGAGATCTCCCTTACCTCTAAATGATGGAGGGTGGGCTTCCCGTGAGCCATGATTGAATAAATATGGTATCAAAGAGAGCGGTGCTGGGAGTCGGGGATTAAATGAGATATTATTTGAAGTCGAAGTAAATACGGCGCGGACGGCTTATATATATGTATTTGCTTCTGGATCTGAGCCACAAGATCGTCAGCGCTGAGACTGTGAATGTTTGAAGGATCGCTAGATTACGTGACTACCAACAGTCGGGGAAATACGGCGCAAAGAGATATCCAGACGTAATTGAAGTCATCACGGCCTAACCGTATGAGATCTAAACTTGAGATCTCACCCGTAATGATATCTGGGCTCCACCTTGGCCCTTGATTGACTCAATCGACGCTTTTATTAATTATTAGCGGGGATCGTTTCTTCGTCTTCGGGAATGCTGCTATTAATAATGCTACCAATGATATCGTCATCCTGCACCTCGTATTGCATCGCAACCTCCGACATACCTAGGGATTAACTTAAGGTAACAACATGCTAGTTCGTTTGTCCACTTGGAGTCAACGGCGTTATGGGTTCCTGCCCGTTTAGCTATTTAATATCGTAATTATCTTCAGCTTCCACTATATTGTGGACAAGTACGATGGGGGAAGCTGTATGACTACTGGACACGCTGAAGACTTCGGATTGTCAGGACCATCGGCTCTAGTTGAAAGGTCTAGTGCCTACATACGTGTAGGGAAAGAAGGAAGACATCCCATTTTAGATACTTCTAACACGTCTCCTTGCCGGAGCTTGGGAAGCTCTAAGACTATATAGAACCTGAAGCTATAATACCGGTATGGTATGCGCCTCGTGGTACGACTCGACTGGGTGAACCTTACTCCAAACGCCGAACAATCCTCCGAGAATGAACTCAAGTGCCCATGTAGTACCTATAGCAGCCCTAGAAATAAGCGTCACCGCATTTGTTTAACCGATGGTCAGGATGTTTTCTGTCTTTTGGCATCTACCACGCTAGCCCCTACGCCATGAACGGGACCATTCGTCGATACTTCTGCCAGTGCGGCCCTGTTACCGGGTTCGGGTACCGCGGAAGCTGGTCGTTTCATTGTTAGGGGTCGATATTGACCTCTATTTGTCAGCGGACTTCCCGGGCCTCCCGGGGCCCCGATCTGCCTCGCGTGATTTAACGTAGGGTTGCTGACGCCGCTCCCGTTTGGCCTGCTAGGTCCCGAACTTACACCAGCCGAAAGCGTGCTGCCGGCAGAGGCACCGGCCGGACTGCGATGCTGTTCTTGTTCCCGCTTAATGGGAGGAACATGCTGTCCAGATCTAGATACTGGCTTGGAGGAATTGTGATCGATACCCGGCGTTTTCCGGATGGAGGGGCTCTCTAAGCGAGGATCGAACGGTTTAGCCCCCTGAACAGGTATAATGGCCGTGTCTGGCGCCACATCTTCTGGGAGCTTTTTAATTGACCGGGCAGAGAAGAATGAAACCGGCTCTGAAAGAGCCGAAGCATTTGGAGGTGGTGTGTTAGTTCTATGATTGCTTGCCGTTTGTTGAAGTGTATTGTTAGAATGAGGAGAGGGTCTTGAATATTGTTGCGGGTTGGGGCGACCTTGAAAAGAGGCGGCTGGTCGCTGAGGCGGCTGATTCGGGGTATGTGGCAATCTAGGAGGCTGGGCAGCTGGCCGAGGGGGCGGCTGCATAGGTCTCGGGGCATTATTTGCAGATGCGGTATTGCGATCATTGCTATTACCGGAGGATAAAGTCTGTGACTTCTCATTCGAACTCGTTCCATGAGAGCCAGGTAACACCACCTCGTCGGGGTGACCCTCGTCCGCGGCGCCAAAATCGGTCATATCGAAGTCTCCAAAATCCTCCTCATCCAGCAAGTCTGACACTACAGATCCAGAATATCAGCATCCGCCCAGTCAATGTCGTCGGAGTGAAACCCACCATGCGCTCCCATATCCCCAGCACTCTTGTCCCCATTATTCTTCGGCTCGATCTTGACAACATCGGGTTCTTTCTTGGCGAAATCAGAATGGCGGTGCAGATTGTCTTCGTCGAACTTAACAGGCCCGACCTTGATCTTAGTGACCTTGGACAAGTAATCTTTATCGTAGATGCAGTTGCCAAGAACATTCCCGAAATTCCGGAGCGCACGTTTGAGAGCATCGGTGGTTCCCTCCTTTTTAGCCTTCTCGAACGCGGCGGCTTTCCCTTTGCAGTTTTCGATATGACCGTATCCTATATCCTCGTGGTATGTGCCATCCCGCAGTGTAACACGTACGATGACAGACAAGCCTAGGGAGATCTTAAAGGTTTGTGGGTTCTCGTCGACAAAATCGACCTGGATATTCTGAATACTAGACGACCACCCGTTGAAGCCGAATACTTCGTTCGCGAGAGCGATGCATTTCTCGGCGGCGATGTAATGAACCTTCTGGCCAGACGGACCACTGCGTGCTGATAGGTATTCCGGACCCAGCTGTTTCTCTAATCGTGCCTGTAAGGTAGCAATTTCGATTGCGGTGAATTCCGATATGCGAGGTTTCGTCTCCTCAAAAGGATTGGCGATACCATTGTGTTGGTCGCCTGGACTGGTCACATAAGTTGTATGTCAGCTCAGAGATTCACGCGTTCAATGGTAGATGGATTTAATGGAAAACATACGCTGGCATCGCGACAAGATTACGAATGCAGATTGGATATCATCGGAGATATTAGCATGCTTTAGTAAAGTAAATCTCGCCTTTCTAACTTCGATGTTGAAGTTGTTAGGAGCAGTACTAATGAACCAATGCGTGTGTACCTAAGCACTTGAGGACGTAATGGTTGAGGGTGTGGAGGATGTGGAGGGAACTAATCAGACTGGGGGGATTTTATTTGATAGACGCGAACTGCGCGACAAGCTCCATCATTTATGATTTGAACCAGTTTTCCCCATATATGATTACATAATACAACGCGCAGGCGGACACCAAGTCACATGACTACTAGGTACTACCCACTATGTACATTAATTGCCTTAATGCATTTGTATGTAGATCAATTGATTTCAAATTGTACCCGATTTTTCACTATCGGAGTTGTACAATCTCGAAGGAAAGGGGGAAAAAAAAAAAAAAAAGAAGGCCCCGCCGAGGATTGAACTCAGGTCTCAGGAAATCTTGACATTATCACTATAGCCTGTTAGAATACGAACACTAAGTCGATAACTCGAAATAGTAAACTTACAAATCCTGCGTGCTAACCACTACACTACGCGGCCGTTAGTGTGCTTGTATGCCAAGACTTATGGTTAGTTTGTTAGTCTTCTTTTTATCTCAAATCACACCGGCGGCTTCTACCTTTGTCTATCGCAAAACGGCTTTCAAGCTCATGTATGCTTTCTAGTACATTACTATGCAATGTATGAATACATTAACTCATTGGTCCACCATCACCGCCATACTGTATTATACAATGTTGCTTACTTGGTCTCAATACATTAACGAGACTTTGCCCAGCGGTACCTTATCATTTCATCATACGCCACTTCAAACTTAGTCATTTGGACTTCTATCGATATGAGCAATGCCATCGTGGCATAATACTAGGTACGTGTCACCGAAGACTTACATCCACGCTACTATGTATGATATTATGATATCATGGTACAATTGATTAAAATACTTTTATACTTGGATACATGTATGTAAGTAGATGATACCTTAAAACATTACAACTAATTAAAACATTAAAATTCGTTGAGACGGTCCGATTAACCTAACCCGACCTGCGGTGAGTAGGTTGCCGTTTAAACAAAATATTGAACTCCATTTGCCGGCTTTCAGCTTCGTCAAGCAGAGGTACTGTCAGTAGCAACCAGGAGTAACCCCAAGCAGCCCGAATCACTCGACTTGTCCGAGATCCGTCAACTCAGCTTCTTCTTCATCAAACGGAGGCATTGTCGGTAGCACCCGGGAGTAACCCTGGCCAACCTGCACCACTCGGTATTTCCTGAAGTTCCCGAATCCGTGTCTTCCAGCACGTTTTAACTTTCGAGGAGGATCATCGCCATGCCCACTTCCATTGTCCCCATCGTCGTCGTCTCCATTGTCGTCCCCATCACCGCCCCTGTTTCCGCTTCCGCTTCCGCTTCCGCTTCCGCTTCCGCTTCCGCTTCCGCTTCCAGATCCGCTTCCGGGTACGCTTCCATTGTCGTTCCCGTTGCTGCTGCTGCTTCTATCGTTGCTCCTGTCATCACTTACATGGCTCACATCGTCGCCTGAATCATCTCCATCGTCTCCGTTGCCTTTATTTTTCCCACTTCCGGCTCCCTTTCCTCCACCTTGACCTCCACGTCCACCTCGACCACCTTGGCCGCCACCCTGGCCGCCACCCTGACCTCCGGCCTGACCCCCGGCTCTTCCACGGCCCCGAGCTGCTCCCTGGCCCCGCGTGCCTTGGCCACTAGGTGAGGCTCCTTGACCTCTGGCTGCGCCTCCTCGATTACGTCCGCCTCCTCGAGCTTTACGGGCCGCGCCTTGGCCTCTACCTCGGCCTGCCGGGTTCTTATCTTTCGCTTCCTCATCATCTCCGGCATTTTGACCGCTTGGACCAGCCGCGGCCTGTCCGGCGGCCTCGTCTATTTCCTTTTGCCATTTCTCAAACAAACCCTTCCACACCGCAAGCTCACGCTTCCATTCACCGATCCTTTTAAGATGTTCGGCCCGCTGACCGTCCAGGAGGTTGAATGGCGGGGGAAGGTCCTTTCGCGCCGTCAGTTTATAAGCTTCGGGTAACTGAGGTACTGTCGTGACATGAGTCATGTTTGCCTCGAAATCCTCTACGGCTTCTTGAGCGTCCACAATAGCTTCGTTCAGATTTCGCATGAAGAAAGACGCCCTCAGTTTCGTGGGACGACCCGTAGGGTCCTTGGTACCTCGCATGGCATTTCCAAAATTGCCGACTTTGTTGACAGTGGCTTGGACGCCGCGTAACTGCTTGTTTAAGGCTTCTAATTCCGTGTTCTTTTCATCCACGTACTCTTGCAGATCTTCAGGGATCTGTGGCCCTCCGTCGTTACGTGCCTGACTCATGGCTGCTGTGAAAATGTAATTGATGGAGTTGACGATGAAAAATGACTGACTGAGAGGTTATTTGAAGCTAGTTCGCTCACAGAGCTAAAACTGCATTAATAACTATGATGATGGTGGGTGGTGGTGGTGGCTGTGGTGATAGTACTGTCTGGCAGTTGTAATCTCCTTAGCATGAAGAATAAACCGTACTTCGGTAGAAGATTTAGATCCTTAAATGTATACTTACCAATCGACATTGTTTGCTTAGACTTAGGACCTTGTTGGACGTATTACGTAGTGACAAAGCATTTGCGTAGAGTGAATAAAGGGACAAGATGTTTTCGAAGCCCTTAATCGAAAACGGCATGGGACAGCATTTAAAAGAGAGGTCAAAGAATTGTATTCAATACTATCCTCCAATTGTGTATCCATAAAAAACATGTTTTATGATGAGAGCTTAATGGTGATTTATTGTATTACAACTCAAGCCGCGTACGTACATACCCAGTAATTAAGGATACTATACTTATAGGTAGGTATCGATTTATGAAACGTTCAATCAAGAAAATAAGAGATTGATAATATATACCTTTACGCTAATACAGTATAGCTGTTAATAAGATGCATTGATTATACCGATTGGCTAAGATCTACTTTGTTGTTAAATGTGACTAGCTGCTGGGTGCTTATTCTTAACATATATTTCCATGTTCTACTTGGGCTATGGATGAAGTTTAAGGGCGTATCTAACATTAATCATACATGATACATATGTCTTAAAGCATATCAATAATTCAATGTTATCTCTCTTTTCAGTTCAATGTTTGCAAATAACAATCATGTCATAACTCCAGGGGTGCTTGGCTGCAATGTTAATATTAGAGATGGTAATCATATGCCAGGATATTCGATCCCACAATACTCATCTGAGATATATACATTATAAGCATCATTGATTATGTAGATATTTATATCATGTTCGTCATTAAGTCCCCTCATGTCAGAATGCTGGCCTAATGACCTATGTGGAAGGAGTTTGCCCATTAGATCTATACGAGAAGGCTCCTATCTTAAGACACCATTGTTAGATTCCTAAGTTTAATACATTGACTGAGGCAATGAAGTAAACAACAACTCGTTTAGTGGGCCGTTTGTAGTTTCGTAGTATAACTTGTTTATACTTGACTTAAAAATACATAGCTTTATCTTCGAGTTAAGCATCAACGATACGATTATCAGCAGAGTACGCCGGGGTTTGCCAACCACACTTCAATAGTGCAGCGCGGAAGAGCTGGTTACGGTTCAATTTCTTAGTTCGGTCTACCAATTTGACCTTATTGTGGTTTAGTGGAAGCTACATAAAACGTGAAGGTCAAACAAATTTGTTTGGCTTTGATATACGAAGGAGGTAGCAAGCGCGAAGCTATAATATGCTTCTGACTATGTATAGCAAGAGCTACTATGTAGCTACCTAGCTAAATACATCTGAGTTGAACTAATATATAAGCGCACTTAGCTAATGTTTCAACCAATCAAATGAGGCAGTCTACGATTGCCTTAGCCCCACAGGGCGTGTAACTCAGTGGTAGAGTGCTCGCTTCGCATCTTCCGGTGCTGGAAATGCGAGAAGTCCAGGGTTCAACTCCCTGCTCGTCCAAGACTTTGCTTTTTGCCTTCTTCCATATCTATAGCTTCCCATCATTCTACGTATTTCCGGCAAAGCCATACTCCTAACACAACATCTTTTTTGCTCCCTCATTCCGCAGAAAGTAGTTCTTATAAGAAGTCGGTGCTGGACATGAAGCTGTAGGGACGTCAAACTCAGGAGTCAGGCAGACTTCTGCCGTCATGCTTGTGCCGCGGCTCACTCACGATGTCAAGCCGCTTGTTTGGTCAAACACTCATGTACGAATAATTGAATTAATAAACACCTCCTCCTACCTACCTACCTAAGTACTTATAGCCATTACCGAAAGACACTTTTCCAGTGAGGCGATAACCCTAAATTAACTCCCCCCCTTAAAAGGCGATTGTACCAACCTGGTACGCGACGAGGCCAAACAATCACGATGAATACCATCCCGCCTAAGCTATTAATAGACCTCCGTAGGATGCGAGGCCACGACCAACTTCAATGCGTAGCAATCGCGATCATCAGTTCCATGATGGAGTAGCTGCGGGATCATCGCATGGCCGAAGTAGTACTTCGGACTCTGGTCGTCATCCCCGACTAGGGCCATTGTTCGGCGCTGCTTGCACTCGCTGCCCCTTGGCGCAGATGACCATGTGCGAATTCTCGGTAAGGGGGTAACTGTCGCCGTGTATGTGCTATCCTGGAACCTAGCCTGGTCGGGGTCTGATTGCTAACGGCAGACTTGTCAGAAGGCCATCTTAGTAACCTCTACGGAAGGAGTCGTCCCTGGTACTAGGGAGGTAGCCCTTTGGACCTATATCCCGGGATGGAGGTGTCTACAGGGAACAAAGGATCTTTGAGGTATACAGGCCTATAGTTCTAGGTAGATAGGGGTTGAGGCTCCTTGCGCGACAACATAGTTGCTTCCCAGCCTCCTTGGTCTACCTTGTGACAAGATTGACCTGTTGAGCGGGTGACTCGCTAGAGGGAGCCTGTACACGTGAGCTCAAAGTCCCAAAAACATGTCGATGAGTACCGTTTACTTCCCCACGATCCCTTCGGTCGTACCTAGCGTCGTAGCGTTTAGTGTCTTAGTCGGCCTGCCAGGAGCGAGTTATCCGCCGGTATGGTTAAAGATGGTTACAAGTTGAGAGACTTAGCCATCCCGGCTAGATGGTGGCGTTCTGGGGTTATGTAAAGTGAGAACGGAGTCGGGACGATGTCGTCTCATCCTCTTCGTGGTATAATCTGGCGGTAAATATCGGCTGGATCTCGGACGGGACCTCCCTAGGCGGTGTCCGTTCAGGTTGCTGCGCACCATAGACTATGTACCTACCTGCCAAAAGTCTGTTTGGTCCAGAGTAATTGCGGTCTTCCCCAATGGGGTTATGTATGGCTTACACGGACTTGTAGCAAGGATCGCTCTATTATAACTGAACAGAGGGACAGTTTTAATGGAAGCAGCCAAAGGAGAAAACGATAGTTAACATTGAGTGTATGATATGAACATTAAGAGCTAGACTAGAGAATGAAGTTTGAAAAACCCCCGTGTGGGCAGCTGAAGCTGTTTGCCATCTATAGATAACCCGTGCATGAGCTTCCTGGTTTTCTTTGTTTGAATCCTAGGTACATCTATGTATGTACGTGTCTATGCATATTGTGCCGCTAATGCGAGAGAAATATCATTGACGCCCGGTATCGCTGCCAATCTACATATGCAGGTAGGGATATACTCCTTTGGCGTATTGGCCATTTTCCATATGCTTCCGCTAAGGATAGGTATGCTTGGATAGAATCGAGCCTCAATAGTTGGGATGAAGATGGTGTGTTGTACCTATCATTGCAGTTTTACTTGAGAATTATGTCGCAGCTTGGTAATGGTCAGGTCTTGCCCTACTATCCGTCGGGATAGATAGTGATATATTGGATTGATGGAAGTAATCGCCTGACATTAGTCGATAGGTATTTCGAGAGGTTTGGCTGAACCCCCAACTGCGACGCCGTATCTATTCTATCGCCGTCGTCCTATATAATATGAGACAATCGCCGTTATGCCCTCTGCCGAACTGAAATTCCAATTGAAAGAACGCCAAACCGTGGTTGTATTGACACTGGGGATGCTCGCTTGATCTGTTCGGGATATGGTTACAAACCAGGCCTCTGATTCGACCATATTCCGGGGATAATCATAATATGAGGGTAGTGGGAGCGGTATCGACTATACCGACTAATGGCCATCATTCGGTGGCTCTAGGTTAGAGGCAATCCACCGTGACACAATTTCTCTGATTTCGTTGATATCGAGCTTTGTCTCCTTTGTATGGAAGTCTTTGAGGGACTGGGTAAGGATGTAATTTGTCATATCCTGTATGGGATGCGTGTACGGGCATTTCGGCGGTGCTTCCCGTTCGCCGAAAAGCTTCCTCCAAGTCCAGAACCACTTCGTGTTAGGGCCACTTCTGCTCTTCGAAATTGTGGCCAGTTTTTCCGTGCCGTCCGTTGGTTCACGCACTGCATGTTCTTTGCTTAGGTGTTGCCCCAGAGCGCTGATATTGTTGAATTTCTTCTGCATGCAGTTTTGATGGTGTCCTGGATCGCGCTTGTAGAAAAGGCACGCGAGAGACATACTCTCATCGCGCCCCATTTTTAGCCTGCAAGCTTCGCACGCTCTATCGCCGTGCACAACCTCTCCGTCTTCTTGGGAGAACTTCCTCTTCTTACTGGCCTGCCAGCAGTTCCCGCCGGTAAGATGCTGGGGGCCAGGACCAGGCAGCGGGGCTGCTCCATTTTGATCTGTTGCTGATAATTCCATGTCAGGTAGTTGATGAGAGGCCCCCGAGAATTGGATGGGAAATGGAGAGAATGATTCGTTGTATGATAACGATGGTAGATGCGATTCAGGGGATGCATCACTTGGAGGGTTTAACCACAGTGTCGGATGCTGGTGGTTTTCAGAGATTTCGGTGCCGAACGCAGATGTGTGAGGCTCAAGAGGATATATATGGTTGTGGGATGCATCCGGGAGCTGAATCTCACAAGTGCCAATTTCATCGAGGCTCTTTAGAAAAGCCTCGATGATTCCTGGCCCGTGTCCTACTTCGGGTAGGTGTTCTACCTCTGGGTGACCGTCGTAGGGTAGAAAATCCGGACTTCCCTCGCAAGTGTGGAGAAAATACGAGTTAGGGGATGGATCGAACGGATAAGTAAGAAGGTCTTCATGGCGCACTGGTTCCAGAATGCAATTCGCCGGATGTGCACCATTTTCAGTGTCTGAGATGTCTGAGATGAGATTGATTGGTTCGATTGTATCGAAGTCGCAGCTACGTGGTGTACATTCGCCATCCTCAAAAGCTTCATTCGACCCGCCGATTTCTGGATGAAGCAGGCCAATTGGCTCAGTGTCGATATGGCCCGAATCTGTTTGAGCCGTCGTCGGTTTGGGGATGGCTTTCAGGGGTTCCTTAGTGGGCGAGTGGCCTAAGGAGGGGCTGTCCCCAGTTGTCGCACTCGCTATTACACGTAGCGGACTTGCGGCTCTGCTAATCAATTGCTGATGGGTCCCCTGCCGAGCCTTATGATTACTGCGCAGAGCCTCCTTGCTGGCAATCCCTCCCGGGTATAAAGAGGCCGATCTTGACCTTGTGTACTCTGCACAACAATATCTACACTTCTTATGTCCACATAGAACTTCAACACAGGATGTGTTAAGCTGTAGGGACATTCCTCCGTAACCACAATTGCACTGATAAATATAGTTAGTACGCCGCAGACTTTGCGCTGCTCATTTCGCGAGAACTTACACAATACCATAGTGTGTCCTCTTCTAAGTCTTCTTGGCTTGGGCTCATTATTGCTTCATGTGCTCGTGCTTTGCACAACTCAAATTGTATTTAATTCATGAAGAACATCATCACACAGAGATATCTATACCTTCGCTGTTGGGGTTTAAAAAGGTCTCAGATGCACTCTTGTTAATTCAAACTACTGTCTATAGCCATGATTTATCTAATTGGTTCGTTTCCTATTCTTAACTTTAGACATCCAATTATGTTGATGGAAGTTCAGCCATTGATATAGAAAAGGACGTATTTGATCATCGCCATTGTCAAAAGCTACCCCTTAACCGTAGTTGTTAATCATGAATTTGATTATAAGGTTCTTCCAGAATGTACCTTTTGATCAAGACGACAATCATTTGGCATACTGCATCCTGGCGGTACCATGTAATTGCGCGTGTTCGAGGATAATTGGCTAGATAAATCTCCGTCTTACATGTTCGGAGTTGTCCTATAATCAAGATCTTGATTGTTTGATACTGCAAGATCTGGTGTACTGTAAATAGCGATAGTATTCGTCACGTACTTACGCATCACCAACCATGTTCCAAAATACTTCGAACGAAATGGGATGTGACCCGCCCAGTGCTCGCAAAACACTACCCTTCTTGAACCAAATGATTGACTCATAACCAATTGTTAGCAACTTGGTGCCTGATACGGGCTGACTTGGAGCTTCTAATACATTTATGTCGCTGCTCTTCTGCTCTTCGTTTCGCCCTGTCGGTATTGGAGTCCGCTCTTCAAAGCCAGGTAACTAATTAGGTATGTACCCCGTTTAGGTAGGTATATGGGGAGAGGTACCCAGTACATATATTCGGGGTAAGTGTTGGGGTTTAGCAGTAATCTCAGCTTGCTACTCGAAAATACATGTACGAATTAGCATGGAAAGGAACATGGTAACCATCAATGCTTGCATCTTCAAGATTTAGGGGGGCTGGGGCAAAAGTCTTCTTTTATCATAGAAGCCAGTTTATACTTTGAATTAGACAAACATGGTTAGATGCTTCAGACTAATCTAGACACGCTATAATTACGCCTGGAGAATTGGAAGAGGGCATAACGGACTGACATACGTCGAGGCCATATGCATTCGGAGCCAGATGTATTAGCCACTAAATCGCATCTGGTAGGTATATGTACTTGGGCATATGCGGCGCGGGCATCGCATCTAAGACAAAAGTCTTG